GCCCTAGCCCCAACCAAGACGGTCCGCGTTGTCTCCATTAGCTTCAATTCATCCCCTAGCTAGCTCCTCATGGTTCCTCGAGGGAATCGGAAAAAGAAAATTTTATGTGGAGTCATAAGGTCATCCTGACATCTCAACTATGCATACTCTCTCCATAGGGTTGGTATCTATCTCCCTCCACCGTTCTTTGACCACGCTCCTCTAGAATCCAAGGGTCTTAAGTAGGGTTGTAATGTCATGGCTAGGGGTTATGGTTGGGAAACAATTTGAAAATTTTGGTGACAATTCCTAAGTGAAGCATAAGAGTGGCCATCTCTCAAGAACATCCTAAGAATTGAACCTATTCTTCAAACTTACAACCTTTCAAAACAAACCACACCACATTACTTCGATCTTTTTCTTTTTTTTTTCTTTGCTTGGTTTTCATGAGTTTCAACTTTATTGACAAGCTTTTTTGCGTACTCTTTTCATGAATAACCTTTCAAAACCTTATTTGAATCAAATTACACAACTTTCTTGCTCAATTTCAACATTATCATACTCGAACCTCACAAGCCAATGCTTCAATAACTACAAGGGTTGGTAGAACATAGACCGATAGGTTTGTAATATGGCTAAGTCAAGAAAGGGGAAATAAGGCTCAAATTGGTTAGAAAGAGGGTGAATGTAAAAAAGAAAACCAAATTTGTAACTAAACACAAAGAAAACAAAGAAAAATTAGAAGAAATACCCTCTTCCTCCTCTAGAGTTATACGGTCACGATCTTGGGAGCCAGACGCCAACACAAAGATTAAGACATGCATAGTTAAGGATCCTAAGTGCCGCTCACAAGAATGATGAAGGCTAGAACAAATAACGCTCACATGGGATAAGAAATATATCAAATATTAACCAAGAAAATCCTATCAACTATAGAGAGCAACACCATCTTACCAGTTTCCCGTGAACTAGGGTTTCAAACGTCCTCCAAAAAGTTCTAAACCGAGCTACCTTAGCTTACAATATGTCTAACTCAACCCAAAGCATTCTCAAACCGTGTAAACCCTCATCAACTAGGAAGATAAGCATTCAAAGACACATCGAGGCAAACCAATCTTAAAGAGTGAGCAAATTACACATCAAAAATCATTTCAAATTGTCATAATTATGCTTGTAACACAAAAAATGAGAAACAAAACAATAGAAAGAGGAAGAAACCAAAAAGGTTCACATACGAGGCAAATAATTCAATTAAATCCCAATCGTCATACAAGTGATCGTTCGACAACAACATTTACGATCCCAGGTTCTATAGAACCAAAAGTAAACATCCTCGAATCATTCAACTTCTTCCTAAGCTAAACCTAAGCTTAACACCCAAGGAAAAAGACAATAAAAGAGAGGAAAGGTCTCACCAAATGCCGCTTGAAATGAAGACATGATAAATTATGCAATCTCACTGAGGAGGGCTCGAATTGCCCTTTGACTTCCTTTATCTCCATTTCCAAGCTTCAAAAGTGAGCCAAAATGAAAGAAACGACTAAGATGAAACAAAAATATAAAAAAAAAGTTAAAAATCAAAGAAAGAAACAGAATTTAAACAAAATGAAGAAATAGAAATAAAATAAAATAAACTAAAAGAAATTTGGATTAAGGGAAGTTTGGACTATCGGGAGTTTGGATTTTTCCTCATGGGAGCGCCATCACCTACATAAACACTTGAAAATTCATTAGCAAAAACTTATCAAAATCACTCAGGGACATAATCATCAGAATCAAGCAGATAAATCAACATCAAAAACATGATAAAGCCAACCGAACCATGAGAGCTCTACCACCTACAATGAAACCCCCCCCCCACACTAGCATGATGACAAGCCTTACCCCACACCATAAAAAAAATATCCCTTTGCCTCTTACACACCCCCCCAACTAAAACAATGCACCGTCCGCGGTGCGCCAAATTAAAACATAGGGAGGGGGCAAAGGGGAAAAATAAAGAACAAGGGGGGCTAGTGGCCACTAGGGCCTGCTTTGTCATCATCTCCATCATCATTAGTGTCGTAAGAGAAACCGTCCGGAGGGATGCCGTGTGGGTCCCAACCACCGGAGTAACCTGGAGGCCAACCATAGTGACCTCGGAAGAGGTGTTGTTGCCATTGAGGCAACGGGTCGAAAGGGGCCGGAAGCTAAAGAGGGGAAGAGTGGGTAGGGTCTACATATGGATAGTTGGGGTCACCCCAAAAATCGCTCCCCCCGGGGGCACGATAATCGTACCCGGTTTCCGTCGGGTAGTCTACCCGGGAAACACCGTGGGAGGAGGGCCCTTGCCAATAGGGCCAAGTAGGTTATGATCCCTACCACCCTGGAACCGGACCTTGTTCAGGTGGCCAATAGGGGTAGTTTACCGGGGGGGTGACCTTACCCCTATCCACGGCCGCACCATAAAGGGCTTGGGTTTGCATAAACATACCCTATTAGTTCTCCATTATGCTCTGCATTCCAAGTTGCATGCTCATCATTTGTTGTTCAAGGCTACTCATGCCTTGATGATGCTCCTGTTGCTGATGATGTTGTTATTGTTGTTGTTGCTACTGATGTTGTTGCTGTTGTTGTTGGTGGTGGTGTTGCTGCTGTTGTTGTTATTGTTGTTGTTGTTGTTGCTTTTGTTGCTGTTGCTATTGTTGCTGTTGTGGGCCGACTTCCATATTCCTTACGCCACCCAGAGCAGTGGGTAGCACACCATTATCTCGCGGAATCTTCCATACATTCATTGCGTTCCGCTCCAGGGATGTACGGCTGGGGTATGGCAAGATACAATGGTGCTCTCGGTCAACTATCCAGGCATGAAAATTGTTGGCATCTGAAGTTAGTTGGAGGAACCCCGACCTTCTAATCTGTTGTATGTTGATGAATAGATCTTTGTCGGCCCCAACTTGAGTGCACGAGGGGAAGAAGCGTTCATAGTTGAGCTTCTTGGCAATCCTTGTAATCATCCCACCGAGGGCAATTTCTCCTGTCTTGTGGTCCGACTTGATTGCCTTGCAGCACAAGACGAACCAGTACCCTATATTGAGCCGCCCTTTCAATTCCTCCCTAGTTGCAACCCACAAAGTAAATAGCTCCTCATGCGAGAGCTTGCTCAAGTCCTGCTTGCTAAACATCGAAAACCCCAGAATGCGGTGTAGAATACGGAGCACATGGTGGATAATATGGTTGGCCACCGAATACCTAGTGTAGAATTCTTCAAAGTCGGTAATCGTTTGCCACCATCTAAATGCATCAGGGAACAGGTTCAATGAAGGGGCAAGGAGGTCTGCCTCAGGGTTCAAATCCAACAATACATTAAGATCACTAAGAGTCATAGTGTGCTGGTTGTTGAACAGTTGGAAAGAAATTTTGAAGTCGTTCCCAAGAGGCTCTTTTTCAAAAGAGGCCAAGAATTCTAAGGTGGGCTCCTTATAAGTTCGGAATTGATGTTTGATGAACTCACTCATCCCCAAGTTATCAAGGAGCGACCTTATATCGTCGTCAATCCCCAAAGCTCTCATGGAGCGTTGATCATAGTGCCTGGAGGGATTTAACTTTCGTCCGTGAAGGTCGTTGAAGAACGTAGCATGGACCTTGTTCGAGAATCTCAATCTAGGGGGAACATTAGGTCCTTGAGCTTGAGTTTGTTGGGTACTCGGTTCCTCAACCCTTAAACTGGGCTCCTTTCTGCTCTTTCTTTTGCTCATTATGTTCAAGCAATACAAATAACCCAACCAAAAGGAGAACTACCTTCGAACTCAACCAACAATTGGAAAACAACAACAACAACGACCCAAGTCTCAACGATGTGCAAAAAGGGTTAGTACTAACAACTAACCACACAAATATAGTGCCCAAGACAACAAGAATCAACAATAAAGCAGTCAATCAAAACACATTATGATAGCAAGCAATTCTCATGAAAGTAGTTGCATTATCATCAATACAAACACCAAATTTCTCAACTTATTTTCATGAAAATGGCTTCCAAAACAATAGTATTAACAACAATGTCCCCAAAATCACTAAATTTCACACTAATAACCAATACAATCCTTCACAAAGAAAACCAAAATCTCATGCAATTCACTCAAGCTAATTCATGTTTCATAACTCAAACAATAGTATAAACAACTAAAATTAAGAAATAGCAAAATTTAGAGTTATACCACTTTGTAGAAGCTTGAACACCACTAAGAGCCTCCAAGAACACCACCTTCAATGAAGCTTGCAAACCATGAAAATGGGGGATTTTTGGGTATTTTGGAGAGAGAAAGTGGGTGAATTTGTGAGTAGAGTGAAAGTTTTTGATGGATTTGAAAGAAAATCAATGGAATTTGTGAGAAATGGGTGAAATTTGAAGGTTAGGGTTTGGGTTTGTGAGGATAGAGAAGAGAGCATGAAAATTGGGTTTTGAAAATATGAGAATGAAATCGGGAAGAAGAGGGTTAAAACCTGATTTTCCTGCTCTGCGCGCCCGCAAAGGTGAGCTGCGCGCCCGCACAGAAGTGGCGCACTAGGTTGCGCAAACTCTCTGTCTTGAATCTCAAATTTTGATTAAATTTGTGCGGGTTTTGACAGTGAACGCGCGCCCGCACACAAACCATGCGCGCCCGCACATAGGTTGCACATCAAGTCGCGCAAACTTTCTGCCTCAAGCTTTAATTTGTGAATAAATCTGTGCGGGTTCCGACAGTGCCTGCGCGCCCGTACAGATCACACTGCGCGCCCGCACAGATGTCGCGCACAAGGTAGCGCAGAGTAAAATTCGATTTATCCTCACATCTTCGAAAAAGAAAATCCTTGTTCCTTTATCATCCTAACACCTATCAACCAAAAAGGTGAAAAATCAAATTCAAATTCAAATTCAAAAAGGAGAAAGTGAAATCGGAATATTCTAAAAAAAAAGTATAGAAAGGAGTTAGAAACTCGGGTTGCCTCCCAAGAAGCGCTTCTTTATGAGGTCACTAGCTGACCAAGAGAAAAATTCTTCAAGTCAGAGGCTTGGGATCCAAAGGGTCAAGCATTATACATTCGATGATACCAACTTCTTCCTTGCAAAAGTAATGCTTTAAACGATGACCATTAACCATAAACTTGTTACCATCCGCATCTAACTCAAAGGAGCCATAAGGAGTAGTCTTTGATATCACAAAAGGACCCGACCACTTTGATTTGAGTTTACTAGGAAACAAACGAAGCCTTGAGTTGAAAAGTAAAACCTTGTCTCCAACCTTAAAGTTCTTGTTTCGAATATGTTGGTCATGCCACTTTTTGGTCTTCTCCTTATATAACCTTGAGCTCTCATAAGCATCATCTCTAAGCTCTTCAAGTTCATTGAGCTTGAGCAATCTCTTCTCACCGGCCAACGATAAATCCATATTGAGCTCTTTGATGGCCCACCAAGCCTTGTATTCTAACTCAACTGGCATGTGACAAGCCTTTCCATAGACCAACCTATAAGGGGTCTTGCCCATTGGAGTCTTGTACGCCGTCCTAAGAGCCCATAGCGTGTCATCAAGTTTGAGAGACCAATCTTTCCTTGATTTGTTCACCATCCTTTGAAGAAAATTTTTTATTTCACGATTCGAGACCTACACTTGTCTTTGAGTTTGAGGGTGGTAAGGTAATCCAACCTTGTGATGAACGCCATATCTCTTGAGAAGAGCTTCAAATTTCTTTTTGGCGAAATGGGAGCCTCCATCACTAATTAGCACCCTCGGAACTCCAAACCTAGGAAAGATGATTTTTCTTTAGGAGCTTAAGCACAACCTTGTGATCATTGGTAGGTGAGGGTATGGCTTCAATCCATTTTTTCACATAATCGACCGCTACCAAGATATATAGATTCCCACAAGAAGAAACGAAAGGCCCCATAAAATCCACCCCCCAAACATCGAAGGGTTCAACTTCTAAAACACTTTGTTGGGGCATTTCGTCCCTCTTGGTAATGCCTCCGCTCCTTTGACATCTATCACATTGCGCAACGAATTGGTGGGCGTCTCTATGCATTGTCGGCCACCACAATAAGGATTGAGAGATTTTTGCCACTATTTTGTCAACACCACCATGTCCTCCACATGGTAGTGAGTGGCAATGCTCAAGAACACCTTGAATTTCATGATCTGGAACGCACTTCTGCTAAAGGCCATCTCCACATTTCTTGAATAGGTATGGGTCATTCCAAAAGGATCTTCTCACCTCCTTGAAAAACTTCTTCTTTTGTTGAAAAGAGTGCTCCGGGGGAACGACTCCGCACGCAAGATAGTTGGCTATATCCGCGTACCAAGGGATACAAGTTGACACCAAAGCCATGAGAGCCTCGAATCCTATCTCATAATTAATCGGTACATCCTCCTTGTTCTCAAATGGTAGCCTAGACAAATAATCCGCTACATAGTTCTCCGCTCCCTTCTTGTCCCTCATTTCCATGTGAAAGTCTTGGAGAGAGAGAACCCAACGGATTAAGCGAGGCTTTTCTTTTTTCTTGGTCATCAGATACCGCACCGCGATGTGATCCATGTACACGATAACTTTTGAGCATATGAGATAGGACCGAAACTTATCGAATGCAAAAACTACTGCTAACATCTCTTTCTCCGTTGTTGTGTAATTCCTTTGAGCCTCATCTAGAGTCCGACTTGCGTAGTAGATGACACATGATTTTCCTTGTTTCTTTTGACCAAGAACGACACCTACTGCAAAGTCACTAGCATCGCACATTAGCTCAAAAGGCAAGCTCCAATCCGGAGCTTGCACAACGGGAGAAGAAATGAGAGCTTCCTTGAGCTTACGAAACGCCTCAAGGCAAGCCTCATTGAAGTAAAAAAACAACCTCTTTTTTGAGCGATTCGGTCAAGGGTTTGGCGATTGAAGAAAAATCTTTGATAAACCTCCGGTAAAAACCGGCATGCCCAAGAAAAGCCCGTACCCCCGTGATGGAAGTACGAGGGGGCAACTTTTCAATCATCAAAACCTTGGCCGGATCTACTTCAATGCCATTTTTTAAAACCTTATGGCCGAGGACAATGCCCTCCTCGACCATAAAATGGCACTTTTCCCAATTTAAAACCAAACTCGTCTCTTAACACATTTTCAAAACTTTTTCAAGGTTAAAAAGACAAGTGTCAAAATACGGTCCACCAACACTAAAATCATCCATGAAAACCTCAATTTATTTTTCAAGCATCTCAGAGAAAATGGAAGTCATGCATCTTTGAAAAGTAGAGTTAGCATTGCATAATCCGAATGGCATTCTTCGGTATGCAAATTTCCCATATGGACATGTGAAAGTAGTTTTCTCTTGATCACTTGGATGGATAGGGATTTGGAAAAATCCGGAATACCCATCCAAAAAAGAAAACAAAGCATGGTTAGAAAGCCTTTCAAGCATTTGGTCCATGAAAGGGAGAGTAAAATGATCTTTCTTGTTGTTTTTGTTCAATCTCCTATAATCAATGCACATTCTCCACCCGGTCACCGTCCGGGTGGAGATTTCCTCTCCCTTTTCATCCTTGATTATGGTCATCCCACCCTTCTTTGGAACTACATGAACCGGGCTAACCCATTTGCTATCGGAGATAGCATAAATGATGCCCGCCTCACGTAGTTTCAAAATTTCTTTCTTCACAACCTCTTGAAGGTTGGGGTTTAACCTTCTTTGAGGTTCAATGGAAGTGGAATGATCATCTTCAAGATGAATACGATACATGCATAAAGAAGGGCTAATACCTTTAATATCATCAATGCTATACCCTATCACATCCCTATATTTCCTCAAAACATCAAGAGGTTTTTCCAAATTAAGACCATCCAGGGTAGCATTGACAATAATAGGGTATTTTCCCTCCTTATCAAGATAAGCATATTTCAAAGAAGGGGGAAGGGGCTTGAGTTCTACCTTGGGAGGAGGCTTAGAACTCTCCTCAAATTTCTCCTCCTTGGACTCAAGCTCGACCTCAACTTGTTGTTCAACTTCCTCCTTTGAGGATTCCTCCATTTCCATGACAAATTCTTTAGCATCTTGAGAGTGGAACTCTTCTTTTCATGTAAGGGCTTATATCATTGGATCTTGAGGACTCATCACGACCCTCCCCAAGCGATCTAGCTCTTCAGTCACGACATCAACTCTATAGCATTTTTCAACCATGGGGGTCTTGAGCAACTTAGAAAACTCAAAGACAATCTTTTCATCGGCCACCTCACATGTGATGGTGTTGTTCTTGCAATTAATGACCGCCCCCAAAGTTTTAAGAGCTTCACGTCCTAAAATCAAAGGAGTGTTAACATCCTCCTCCATATCCATCACTAAAAAGTCACAAGGCACGTAGATGTGTCCCACTTGAATTGGAACATCCTCAAGCTCTCCACAAGGTAATTTCACTGATCGATCGGCCAATTGAATTGTCTTCTTTGTAGGGATCATCTCAATATTGAGTTTTTGAGCAATGGATAGAGGGATTAAACTAACACTTGCTCCAAGATTGGCTAAGGCGCCCCTAGCTTCCATGTTCCCAATTTTCACCGGAAAAGTGAAACTTCCCGGGTCTTTTTCCTTCTTGGGCATCTTATGTTGGACAAGAGCACTCACTTGATGTGGAAGGGTGATAAGCTCATCATTGAGCTTCCTCTTGTTGGTGAGAATATCTTAGAGGAACTTGGGATATGATGGCATTTGTGTCACAACTTCAAGAAAAGGGAGGTTGATATGCAAATTCTTCATGACACTATGAAATTTTGTGAACTTGTCATTCAACTTCCTCTCCACAAGCCGACCGGGAAAAGGAACCGGTCCATCAAGATTCCTAGCCTCACTAGGAATTGAAGTTGTCTTCTCATTGTCAAGCTTCTTCTTCTCCGATCCTACTTCTATCTCATCACCTTTTTCTTTCTCACCTCCCTTGTTTTCATTCACACTCTCCTCTCCTCCCGTCTTTTTCTCACTATCCCCTTCATTTGGCCCTTCATAGGAAGTTCCTGACCTCAATGCGATTGCCTTGCATGTATCGGGTTTTGGATTGTGAGATGGGTTAGGTTGTGGTTGTCCGGGTAGAGTGGATGGTGAATTGAAAGGAGTTCTCTCGGCCAATTGAGCTAGTTGTGAATCAACCATCTTGTTGTGAGCTCTTATCTCTTACATTTGTTGCCCAAAAGATTTCATTTGTGCATGCATGGCTTGGAGGAGTTGAGTTTGAGTTAGCTCCGCTTGAGGTGCTTGTTCTTGATGGTTTCTTTGAGGTTTTTGGGTTTGATTGTTGTATTGGTTGTTCCTTGGATAGCTTCCTCTTGGGTTTTGGGGTTGAGATGGAGGTGGATTTTGATATTGAGGGTTGGAGTTAAAGGAAGGTTGAGCTTGTTGGTTCCATTGTTGAGGTTGAGGTACAAACCCGGGTGGTGGTTGTCCCCAAGCTACTCCACTGCCGCCTCCTCTAAATCCCTCTTGCCTTGTGTTGTATGCCGCTACATGTTCGGGGCTTAAGCCTCCACAACAGGATGTATCATGGTTCGTTCCTCCACAATTTTGACAAGAGAAAGAGTTAACTTGAGAAGAGCTTGCTCCACCACTTGAACTTGCATTCACACTCGTATTCAACTTGGAAAGACCTTTTGTTAGTTAATCAATTTGATGTTATAATTGATCAACTTTCTCTAATTCGTAAATACCACCTCTATTTGGAGCGTTTCTTCTTCGGCCTCCCCAAGAGTAGTTCTTTGCTACCTCTTCTATTGTGGCTTCAACTTATTTTGAGGGATCTTGATTAATTGACCACCCGCCCTCGCATCGAAATTGGCTCTTGACATGGGCTCCAATCCGTCGTAGAAAAACCGCATGAGCAACCCTTGATTGTACTCATGGTGGGGACATGCTTGCACCAAGACTTTCATCGGCCTCTTGCTCAAATGATGCAATTTTTCTTCTCATTTTGGCGGTCTTCTCTTCGGAGATAAAGCGCTTCAACAACGCCTTTACCACCTCCCTCCATGTTGTGAGAGTGTTAGGCTTTACTTGCTTTAGCCATTTCTTTGCTCGTCCGGTGAGAGATTGCCGAAAAAGGTGCATACGAATATAGTCTTGACTCACTTCATTGGTTTTCATCATTGCGCACAATTCAAGGAATCGGTCCAAATGTTCAATAGGGTCCTCACTTCCACTTCCGGAAAATTGCTTCGATTGGACCATTCGAGTATATTGTGGATGGATTGAGAAGTTAGTTTCCGTGACGGGTAGCAAAATCCCTCCCGTAAGCTCAAAATCCTCCGGATTTCCGAACTCACGAAAGAAGACGTCATTCTCTTGTCCCACCATTGATTCGCGTGGTGAACTTGAAGAGTAAGTATCACTCTCACTATCAACTATATCACCAAAACCTCTTCCCTTGTCTTGATAAAGCCTACGGACTTGTCTCAAGGTTCGGTTGATTTCGTGGTCAATTTGATGTGAGGGTGCTCCTTGAGACCTATTCACCAACTCTAAGCA